GCCATTTTAATGTGTTTGAATGCCATCTCTTTCTTCTGAACCAAGATTTCAAGAGGTAGGTTTTGTTTTTAGTCTGCTCGAAATGTCAGATTTTTTTAGAATGAAATACAGCTTAGTTACTAAGATTGATAAATTATAGTGGAATTCTATGGTATCGATATAGTAATTTATGATTTTTTTGGTTATTCAACTGTATATATATAAAACCCCACAAAAAATTTATTTCATATCCTCCACGTACAAAATCTTAAAAGGCTTAGCAACCTATGTCAAGCAGCAACCGAATACAAAGGTCATAACTAGAAGAGATAATTGTTTGCTTTACTTCTTTATTTACTGTTCTATATTTTAAGAAAGATAAGTTTAAGAACTTATATTAAAATAGCAATAATCTATATACATATATAATGTATAATAATTGAAATGTGACTGTATTTTACAAAATACTGGTCTACTAAAACACAGTCAAGACAGGTTATTTTGTAAAGACAAAAAGTCAGTTTTGTATTATTGGATACAGTAACATGAGAGCACAGGTGCTGCATCATTGTAACTTCTCTATTGTTAGCCAGGCATGGCTGAAAGGTCAATATAATAAAAATAGATATATATATAACTGTATAATGTTATGAGAATTAACTTATTTTAGTCTACACATTTATGTTTTCGTGTTATAATTTGTTGTCATTCTAAGATGAAAGAGGCATAATTTATATCTATTTTCTAATTGTTTATTGTGGTTATGAGATTGGTCAAATCTACCGAACCCATACAGAGATTCGTTACTAAAAATAATAGATAAAATATAAAGTTTTCTTAAGAAATGTTTGATAACAGGTTGGACATTATAAGATTTTGCATGTCAAATTTGAAACTTTTCTGACGCATAAGTGTATTTTTAATTATAAAATGAAAATTACTTTGCCTGATGGATAGGCAACATGCTAAAAGAAAAAAAAAGACATGAGAAAAACATTGCTTTAGAAACCTTAAGATTTAATAAATAAATTTGATATTTTGTGTATGAAAACATTGTTATGTTTACTGATAATCTGCCAAATTTCATTAACATGCGCTTACTGATTTAAAAGTTATAGCGTGAAAACTATAAAAAGCACAAAATAGTTATGAGGTTGGTCCCAGGGACCGAGCCCATGCTGAAAGAATTGTTTGGTACTGCTAAAATCACTTTTATCAGCTAACAAAATTATTTTAACCATTTAGAGTTTAATTGGAAAAAACAGTTCAATCATAGCAGCTTTTAGCCTTCAGATTTGTCATGACTTTGAGAGCACTAAGACTTTAAAATGTTTAAGAACTCACAGAGAAATACTAAATATATTGTTATAAAAGTAAAACTTATTAGGTACGATAAGAGAAATGAAGGAAATGTTTTTTCAGTAAAACTTAATTTTATATGTTATTTTCTCTATCCTAACACTAACTCTAGGAAAATTAGCATTGTAAGGTAAAATGAAAAGTTGAAAAACATGAAATAAATCTAGATTACATTTTTTGTTTCTAGAATGTCTGTATGTTGTAACAAACAATTACACTATTTATTCTTACAGGCAAAGCTAATAATTTTAAGGTCATTTAGATTTATTGTTTCACAGCTGCACTTGGAATGTAACAAAAGCTATTCATAACAGCAGGGCAGTTTTGTGTGAACAAAGGATTGACTTACCAGCATAAAGTGAAATAATAATCATGCTTCACACATAACTGAACATTGCTTTGCAGTTTGATCATGTTATCATGAGTAACTTTATATTTAATTTTTTCAGATATTCATTTATGAGGTTAAAGAAAGTTATGTAAATGAAATATGTAAAGGTTTCATAAATTCAGAGACAAATCTTATACTTTGCGTGCAACAGACTTGTAACATTTATAAAAAACTTGCCCAATTTCATGAGGATACATTTGCTACATTTAAAGTTATAGTACATATAGTTTCATGGTGGTTACAAGTTTGATCAAAGTTACCAAGCCTGTATGTGGAGAGCTAAGCTGTACACCATTTTTCATGTCTTTGTTTTTATTAATATAACACAATTTTATTATGGTTTTCCCCTACTATTGAAAAACCATTCCAGCTTGAGAGATGAGCATCTCTGACATTTAGGTCTAGTTTTTGTCACACTCACAGTTTACTTGCTTGATAGGTAGAGGTTGCAATCACAAAACTTTTTCAGAATCCCAGGACTTTAGTAGTTCAAACTCCTGGATCCTAGCTGGAGTTCTAAATCTTTTATTTATTTACATTCTATTTTGTCTTAATCTATGTAATTAAGCTATCTGCATTCCTTACCTGACTTAACAGATTAAAAAATGATGGCAGAATTGATAAAACTAAGCATTTGCAGGGATCAATTTAATAGTTAAATTGTTACCTCAGCTTATGAATGCTTGAACTGGATATTTTTTGCATGTGCACCTCACTGCATCAGCATCATCCAGCAAGAAGGGTCATTCAGTATCCAGAGTGCAAGCAACTAAACCTATGTACAGGTAGCTATATTTTTAATGAAATTTAACCAAAAAACTGTACTGGTTAGAAATCTTCATACAGTTTTTAAGTATTGCCAATGTATGATGAAAAAATCAGGAGATATAGTGACAATCCTCTGGTATGGAAAGGGTTAATACACTCCCAAAATTATTGTATCCTATTCAATAAATCCCAGAATTTGGAGAGCCCAATTAGTATCCAGGATCCCTTAATCCCAGAGTCAAGGTTCTTAGGATTGCAACCCCTACTGCTAACATAAGTTAAAGTAGTTAACAACTTAACCTAAGAAGTGGTGCAAATTACGATATTACAAAATGTATGCTTATGTGTGCAAAAGTTAGTGCCAGTGAAAAACAAAAAAGTTTATGCCCAAAAACTACTTTCAAATTTCCAGAGGGGACGGGTATTTTCAGTTCTTTGAGTAAACCACAATGAACCCGAGACCTATACTGAGGATACTATGCCTAAGTACCATACAGCTCAAATTCTTCTATTGGGGTGTAAGTATGTATATATAATAATTCTTACTCCATTTTGCTTGATTGTTGTAATGTAGTGTTTCATTCATAGCTTCAAAAAACATGCTTAGGATTCAGTCTTTAATTTCTGGAATAAAAATAGTAAATCTCATTTATATCACTATGCATGTGCACGATATCTGTATATATATATATATATTGTTAAATGAGTGTGAGTTTTAAATAATTCACACAGCAAAGAGAAATAAATATGAAGAACAACATGTTATAGTATTTTATCCTTGAAATAT